CTTTGATGTAGGGCATGGAAAATTATTGATCAAAAGTGCTGCATGTGAAGAAGCGGTAAATGGGTTTTTTATCTGTTCGCCGAACTTAGCAGTTGGGTCGCCAGTGCGATTTACAGTGGGTTAAATTAAGCCAAATTTGAATTACATTTAATGCCTAAGATTTTTCAACCTAGTTCCCACTAGAAATGGACAAAATTGAACAGAAATATTGAAAACCGTCAAATAAGGGCAGCCACGGAATGCGGTCAGTGCTTACTATGGCAGAATTGAATGTGAGCGGGATTGACATGTGAAGCCGGCACTCGGCAGAAAAAATGAAAGAAGTAATGATCAGTGTATCTAAAGTTGTCATATTGTTGAGTACCGGCTTGTCTGGTCAATAAGTTTGCTGTCGCTTTAGGTCCTACTGGAGCTATTAGTGTAGCAGATCAGAAAGCAATTATGTTGTTCTATAATATCCATGCAGTCGGCGGGCGTCTCCTCGGTAGTATAGTGGTCAGTATCTCCGCCTGTCACGTGGAAGGCCCGGGTTCGATTCCCGGCCGGGGAGCAACTTTTCGCCCATCTGGGCACCGTCATTGGACGAGTAGTATAGCGGGAAATACTGCTCATGCGTTTCGCTATCGGTGGGTAACACTGACAGATCCGGAGCTATGAGTGTAGCAGATCAGAAAGCAATTATGTTGTTCTATAATATCCATGCAGTCGGCGGGCGTCTCCTCGGTAGTATAGTGGTCAGTATCTCCGCCTGTCACGTGGAAGGCCCGGGTTCGATTCCCGGCCGGGGAGCAACTTTTCGCCCATCTGGGCACCGTCATTGGACGAGTAGTATAGCGGGAAATACTGCTCATGCGTTTCGCTATCGGTGGGTAACACTGACAGATCCGTCTTACTTCGAGCTAAGCGGAGCCTGGGACCCTTGTACTCGACTTTCCGCGAAACATTTTCACCATGTGCGCACTGTACCGGAAAGTGCGGACGTGGATTGCACTCCAGTGTGTCATAGGAAAATGTTAATTACTGTGGTCACTAAAAAGACCAACTTAAAATGCGGCTGGCTCTAGTTTGTGCACCCTGCCATCAGACCAGCCACCCAAAAGGCAAGATAAAATATGATGGCATCAGTGCCCGTAAGTTTTTTCGGGTTACACCGACAATGGAATGTGAACCATTCGAGGGGACGGAAGCTGAGGGCCGTAATTCCGTAACTGTTTAAAATTTCATGATTGGTCCCAGTCACGCCTAGACGTACAAAAGTACGTACATGCAGCCCGTACCACAGCTTTCGTCGTGCACCCGGTCGATTTCGTCCACAGGAACAACACGTGGAATGGCTGTCTATTCGGTTTCAACGGTTGCTTACCTGGTCACCTGCAGCTGCGGTGACATACATAGGGAGGGCAGAACGCCGTCCACGTCACCGGGTATTTCTCGAAGTCCATAAAACAACATGCCTCAGGTGTCACTACCGACAAACCTGAGCACGAATATCGTCCTTACTGACCACCAGATACCTGGTTGAGGCGTGCCGCTGCCTAGTCTCATTCGGCTATGACACGACGTTCGTTGGCCTAACGCACATAGAGGCTTTATCGATCAGAAACCAAAAACCAATCTTATGCGTCCAAAAGACAAGGTCATGTTGCCATGGTAGCGAACGGGTCACTCCGACCCACGGTGTGCTCCTGACTCACTCGGCTGAAATACTGGGGTAGCGTACGATTGATAGGATGCTTGCACCTCGTAACGTGCGACTAGGGGTTGTCCTAAGCATATAGATCAGGGTATTTCAGTGTTTCAAATTCTGCAAGTGAAGAACGCTATATTTGGTTCGAACATTTTCTGCGTGTTCTATTGTAAATGTGTGTATCAGTTTGGTTCAGATTCTAGCTAGTCACTAAGTTGATACATGAAACTCAGTACGGGCCAAGGCACACAAGGCGGTTCAAATAATTAGGCAAAGGCAGGACTTCCAGATTTAGGCGTGCGACGATTGGTGAAGTTTGGCAGTACGAAGAAGCAGGCGCTCGCCGGTCGGTCGAGAGGAACTGCAGTTGCTCTACAGGTTCTACAGAGTCCCGCTAGAGTCATGTGGACAAATGCATTCATTGGTTACGTTTGCGCTGGGTATGTGAATCTAGAAGGGAAAGTAGTCCATAATTGCACATGGGGTTTTGCCTGTGGAGCGGAGGCGGCCACGATAAAAATTCAAGGCCTGCTTGGCCAATCCTAGTATAACCGTAACGCAGGATTCAAAATCAAGGTAGAATTCTACCTGAACTACTGTTGTACAAAGCCTACGAATCGATGGTTCGTCCGCAGACTCCTGGATCACTTCCATGCAATAAGTCAGTTGGATTTTACATTATGATTCTTACTACTTAATGAGTAGTCTGCAACGCGCTCGCTATCATTGACCACCGGTTTCAATTGTCGATTTAATCAACTCTTTTTCCTAGATTTCCCTCTGTCACTGGTGTTCAGATCTTTTGACACACGTTCGACGCAGCTGAATCATTACTGGGCATTGTTAATATGACCTCCGTCGGACAGATTCCAGCAAGTTATTCCAACCATTCACCACATAACTGGCGAGCGCGAATTTGGTATATAACCAAAACCACTTCCCCTTACACAGGTTCCAATGGCGGCCTCGTAGTAGCCCATTAGTACTGAAGACAAAGTTCTTCAGGGTCCGCTTGAAGCTTCAGTTTTAGGATATGTTGTTTAGATCAAGACCGAAAAAACCTATCCGCTAAAGACAAAATTCGCAGGGGAAATCTCTTCGAACTACGATTTTCAGATGATCATTATCATCATCGTCGACAGAATAACATCAGTGTTCACACGGACGCTTTCGCTGTCGTATAACCATAATTTATTTGAAAACCTTATTGTGAAGAAAAAATGAAGATGGACGGGGGAGGGACATAGTGCTAGTTTACTACAATCACTCCGAGGTGCCTACACCTCCAGACATTCACTCACGCAAACTGGATAGAAACTGACAACAAGAACGCCACCGACATCGGTCGGCAGCCATATCTTGCAGCGTCTCCAACCAGGCGCGGTCGCCATCCTTGAAGGCGAGTAGCACTGACAGCACCCAAACGT